GTGTATGTGTGTGTGTGTGTGTGTGTGTGTGGGTGTATGTGTGGGTGTGTGGGTGTATGTATGTGTGTGTGTGTATGTGAGTGTGTGTATGTGTGTGCATGTGTGTGTGTGTGTGTTTGTGTATTATACATACCTACGTTTAAGTTTAAGCCACAAGTGAATGTCAAACGTTTTCTAAATCCGTCCAAGCTCATTTTACGCAATAACCAGAGAACTTATTCGTCAATATTTCTCCTTCTTTTGTTCATTTCTTCACTTTTTATTCATTTTTTTTTTCTGTGTGAGCTTGTGACTCGAATGACCAAATGCAGTTATGAGCTCAGTAAAACTTTCACCAAACCATTTGTGAGGCAGCGTGGTGGAATCAGGCTCTCGTCAAAATAATCAAAATGAAGAAACTTGCTTTTTTCTGCAGGTTTGTCAATTTTTATAAAAATTTGTTTTTTTGCTCAACACCCTTCATGCCCATTAAAGAACTCATTTCTGTGAGGATTTTTCTGAAAAGTGTTGATTAAAGGCACAAAAAAGGTAAATTTTCAGTTACCACGGACTCTTAAGCTAAGGAAATAACTAATCTTAGGCGACCATTTCTCACTAATTTTACCTCTGAAAATAAGTGACCCCCATGTCCTTCATTCGCAAATATCTAGACTTGTGTTCCAGGTAAAGGGATATTTTTTTCATCTTAACAAAGACAAGTGAACAAGCTTTAAGATGACACCAATAACTCTACATGCCCAAAAATTGACGAGAGCCTGATTCCACCACGCTGCCTCACATTTGTGCCTTGGTAATGTGATGAGACCCGAGGTGTTACAGGAACGATCATGATTGCAGTAGTTGTGAGGCACCGTGGGGAAAACAGGCGCTCTTCAAAATAATGAAATTAAAGATATTGGCATTTTCACGCCAGTTTGTGGCAATTTTTATCGCATTTTTAGTTTTTATTTCAACACCTTTTTTATCCACTTAAAAATAAATTTTTGTGTGGATTTTACTGAAAAACATTGATTAAAGTCTCAAAAAATATAATGATATAGGATCTTTATACAGTTTCCAAGGACACTCCAGCTTTGAAAATCTCCAAACTTTGGCGGCAATTTCTCACTAATTTTACTTTTGAAACCAGGTAACCCTGGTCTCCTTCAATCAGAAATAACTCGACTTCTCTTCAACATTGATGGATATTTTTTTCACCATAAGGAAGGCAAATGAACAGGCTTTAAGATGATACCAATAACCCCATATGTCTAAATATTGACGAACACCTGACTCCACCACGTCGTGACACCTACAGCGTGCATGTGTGTGCTCAAAAGTGTGTGTGTGTGTGTGTTTGCATGTGTGCGCAGAAGTGAGCGCTGAAGTGTGTATGCATCTGTGTGGATGTGTTTGTGCTTTATACATACCCACGTTTAAGCCACAAGTGAATTTCCACAGGATTGTCAAAAGCTTTCTGAACACAGTCCAGTCTCATATACGCAATAACCCGAGGACTTATTAATAATAATATTAGTCAATATTTCTTTTTTGTTGGTTTATTTCCTTACTTTCAGTTGTTTTTTGTTGTTGTTGTTTTTTTTTGGGGGGGGGAGGGTTTGGGGTGAGCTTGTGACTCGAATGGACTTGTACAATGTGTATATTATATATGTGTGTATGATATGTATATATATATATATGTATATATATGTTATATATATATATATATATATATATACTCACATAAATATGTTATATATATACATATGCCGTTTCGAGCGCTGTAAAACTTTCACCAAACCGTTTGTGCCTAATTGATAATGGAATGAGACCTGAGGTAAGGGTGATGGTTGCAGTATTTGTCCCTAGTGAAGTGTGACAGAAAAGACAGTTTTCAGTTAAGCAATTTGTCTTATTATTCTCTCTGCTCTCTCATTTTTTTATTTAAAAAAAAAAGTTTTTTGCTTATCTCTCCTGCTCTCTCTTTTTTTTTTTCTGCTATCTCCCTGACTAATATTTAGACAATGTGGAATCTTGCTGGACATATTGCAGATATTTTCTGTGTTCGCTTTTTTTAAAAATAGAATTTGAATAATCTAATTATGAGAAGGCTTGAGAATTGGCACCGTGTTCAAGGCTCTAAGTTAGAGCTTATGTTTTATATAGCCAAACTTTATTTATTCTGTTCCTCAGATCAATTTCCACGATAGATTTTTCTATATCCGGTCTGTCGTGAATATAGATTAGATCAGAAGTACTGGCTCATGCACTCATATGACCTTATGCAGTTGTGAGCGCCGTAAAACACTTGCCAAAACAAAATAAAAACAACAGAAGTAGTGAGTGCTGGATGTGGGTTTTTTAGGCCCGAAATTGAAAGAGGAAATGGAACAAGGTTCTAGGGTGTTTTTAAAGAGAAGCTGTTTGCAAAACTGTGTCTGGGATATGATTAAATTGACAGTGTAGATGTTTGAAGCCCCCCGTCAACACAATTTAGATAATTAATTTAGAGAATGAGGTGGTTATCGACCCTGTCTGTCATGGCCAGTAACTCACTTCACCCGACAGACAAATTGAGAGGCTTGGGAAAAAAATGGACTATATGTGAGACATGCTGACAAAATGAGTTACTTCTCACAAACCACAAATGGAGATATTGACAAAAAATCGACATTAGGTTCAAATTTGTATATTTTCAATTGATACCATGTTCTTTAACTATAACGTGTCTTTTATTATTTCCTACTTATAAAATGTAAAAACTTCGCTTATAAGCGTGATGTTTCTACTTCCTTAAGGCTTGAATCTGAGAAGTAACTCATTTTGTCTGCACACTTCACCTATTATTTACATGCAAGAGACTGAAATGGGAACAGAAATAAAGTACTGGAGAGGGTGTTTTTTAGGGCAATTCTCAAACTGAGATATTTCATGTTGTTAGTTTGTGGAAACTATACTAATTACTTGACTGTTGTTTTTATTTTTAATGCCGTCCATCATGAGTTTTATTTTCATATTAGAATCTGTGATGTATACAATATGTTATATGTAATAAATATTTTTTTCAAGACAATCTGGATATAAATGTGTTTTTATTTTTTTGCTTTTCTTCTTTTTGTCCTCCTCCTCTTTTTCCTTCCTCTCCCTCTTCTTCACCAAGTTGAGAAGTTTGACCTACATTTGGCGCCCTCCCCCCCCCCCCCCTCCTATCA